CCCTGGGGATCGCAAGACCTTGTTATACAAGGTCTCGGTTGAAAGTCCTGGTCTTGGGGGGGGTTGGGTACCAAGTCCTAAAAAAATGATGCCTCGGGAACTACCGTATGCCAAAGAACCCGGACGATGTAAAGTATATAAAATCAAGAGCGCGGATATGAAGTCGAGGCTGATCTTTAAAATTGGATCAAATTCCCCATACCATGCACGACATTCATCACGATGAAACGATCCCAGTGTAATGACATGGACGGCGGAAGTTACACCAAGCCACCGAATAGCTGACCAATTGCACAGTTTCACAGCACTTCGTGTGCACGTGCGTTGACAAAACATCCTGAACCCCGAATTTGGTAGCGGCAAATGAAAATATTCATTTCACGCTACCGAATTGCTACGTATACCTAGGATATAGGTACACATGTACGTTCTATATATGTATATATGTGTTTATCTTTTGTTCCAATTTCGGAATCCAATTCTGCTTTGGGCAGATTGTGCTTCGAAGTTGCAGGTAACTTCGAATGACGGTGACTGAGCTTGGGCATTTTACTAAAAATTCCTGAGCAACTTGCCTAACTAGCTAGATCGGTAGCCATATCCTTCATCCTGGTTCGCAGATCGTATTATCGAGAGTAGCATCCCTGGACTAATAAACACAGCATCCCCTCATAAAGGCCCTGAAGTTTAAAGCCCGAGCTTGCTGCTTCTCAGGAACCATGCAGTGCACCTCTGCCGTCTGAGTGTACAGATTCGATAGATATGGCAACCGATACTGAACTCTAAGCCTGAAATGTGTGTTTAATTATATAGCAGGCCGATACTAAACCCTAGGCCCTAAACCTGAAACTTAAACAGGTATTTCATAATCCCCACCTGCTCATGAGGCAGCTGTGTGTCCCGTAGCCTATGTAATCGGAATACAACATTATATATATAATAATGTGCGAAAATTTATTTATGCAGGCAACCGATACTAAACCGTAAACCTGACAGGTTTAATTCTAGTCCCCACCTGCTCGTGTGGCAGCTGAGCTGTGTGTCTGCAGCTAGGCTATGTAAATCGGAGCAGTGCGAGATTTAGATATGAAGCGTGCTTTGGCTATGGGCAGAGAACGCATGCTGGCTTCACAGCGTGTGGATCCGAGTTCGAATTCAAAGTCAGCTGACGGTGCACCCTCCCCCGCTGTGCATATGCATTGTGTGTGTGGCTGCATGCAGATGTGCTTGATTAGATGCCGCCGCTGTTGGTGCATTGCACATGTCGTAGAGCCGCACCGTATGCGAGAGGTTTTGGGCCCGAGACGTACGACTAGTACTCTAGAGCCGGCCATGTCGGAGGTGGCTCCCGTTGAGACTCGATTCAATGTTATTCCTTATTCGCAGAAACATTCAGATTGATCATATTATAATCCTAAGGAAACCTCGGCCAGAGAGGCCCAGGTGGAAGCCGTGTATGACGTCCTGAAAACGGTTATGGAAGCCTACGACTGGAATGCCATACGGGCAACCGAGGCCCGTGTGCCCAGAAATCTCCTTTCCAAGCCCCCTCTTTTGATCAGCACTGCTGGCAGGACAAAGTGTTGATCCCTCTCACGGAGGCGTCCATCCTGGCGGGAGGTGTGTTCGAACGGGACGCAACCAGCATGCAATTGATTTGTGGCATCTTGGAGCCTGTGTGTGCAAGCTGCATGTGGGAGTCCCGGGAGTGTATGTTTCGCCAAGATCGTCCAAAATTTTGAACTGGTTATCTCGATGTTTGCCAAAGTGGAGCTGGACATTCCTTCGGCCGGGGTCTTTAAAGAACCCTGACTGCAAATCCGCCACACTAAATCTCTGATCACACAATCGCCGAAATGACGCAAGCCTTCCGAGCGTAAGCTGAGGACGCCTTCTTGAAGGTGAACAACGATCGCGGGCTCTTGGTCCTTGGAACTACCAAGACAGAAGCACAGCCGAAAGGCCGATCCAAGAAAGTGTTGAAGAAAGAAATCGCAGAATCCCGTCAGCTTTTGTGTAGGCTTCTCTGTGTGTACGTCATCATTTGCTTCACAGTGCGAGTTCTATTGTAGCAAAATAGTTGCTAAAGCCAAGGACTGGGCAGGGCTGCAGGGAGGTCGCCTAAGAGCGATGCTCGCCCTTTGTCTTAGGAACACAAGACGCACCGTTTGCGCGAGGAGAGGTGCTTGCTGCAGGTATGGTGCACACATAAGAATAGGTAGGACCTACGACATGTACATCGTGAGATGAAATAGACCAGGAGCGAGGAGATGCAGGCCATCAAGAACTTCCTATCCTCCCTTCCGGGCTTCGTGAAGGCTGATGGGTTTTAAAGAGTTGGGGTTGAGTCGGATTTTGGGTAAATCTTATGAAGTGATCGTTCAGGAGTCCGAGTCGGGGACAGACTTCGGAGACGTCGGAGAAGCAGTGCACGCCACTTGTCGCTCGTGCAGAATATTCAAATCCAGGGTACGAGTATAACAGCAACCCCTTCTACGTCCAAGGTGCCTGGCTTTACCTCCGAAAGCCTGGGCGACAGTGTGGAAGAAGAGGACCAGCCGAAGGAAGAAGCAGCAGTGCCCGGATTAACTTATGTTACAATACTAGGCTAGAAACTAATATTCGAACGTGTGATTCCAGACAAGCGTCCACGTATGATTGCCCCGAGGTGGCTGGAGATGCAGCAGCCAGCTCCGGCGCCATCGGCAGCAGGAAGGCGAGCTGCTTAACCTGGGATGTGTTGGCTGTTTGTTCTCGGTGGAAGGATCCGGGCATTCTAGACCGTAGCACCCTAAATCTTTGGTTCATTGAGGCTTGCGAATGTTTTTTTCTCGGAATTTGGGTCTGGCTGCACTGAGGTTACACGTGTGACCCACACGAGTCGGATCCTACAGAATTAATTAGTATAATCCCGAGGAAGCATAAATACTTTCAATAAAACCACCCTCAACCCCAAACCCTGAACCTTAAACCTTAAACCCTAATCCGCTCTTCAGGGTTCTAGAGAGAGACGAAGCTACTCAGGGGCTATGATCTGAATCCCTTGCTTCTTCGGGTTTCAATCTGGGTTCAGGGTTTGGGGCTTAGGGGTTATACAGGGTTTATGGTTCAGGGTTTAGGGTTTAGGGTTGAAGCTTCAAAAGACAAGACTTACCGATCCCTTGTAGAACTCGTGAGCTTTCCGGCTTTCTGAACCAATCCGTTCCTCAACCTCTGGGCTTGCGATCAGGAGCCAGCATCGACGGACATACCAGATGTTTCGATGGAGGACGACGATTAGTTTGCAAATCGCAATATGAGCTTACGAGTGGGGTGCTCCTAGAAAGTCGAGTAAGATTTATATCGATCCTCAGCAACTTCTTGCCCTGAATGTCCGAAGTTCTTATGATACGACTTTTGGGGATGTGGTTTTGGCGCTTGGCTTTCGGGGTCTTGGGTTTCATTTATGGTTTACAAGTTTAGGTTTCATGTTCCTCTGGAGTGACATCGTCCCGAGCCTGATAAACAAATAACCCGACTAAAACCGAAGATATTACCCCAGCACCCTCGTCCATTCTATACTTATAAATTATTCGAGAGATCACAGCGATATGTATCATATGCTCAAGTTTACATCGAATTCCTTTAAATCCAAACAAACCCAAACCCCCTAACATCCAAGCCCCATAATTAACACGTAAACACCGGGAGGCAGAAAACCAGAGGAAGGTCAGATATGTGTATATGAATATACATACATATATACATGCCGTGATTTTATAAGCAGTCGTGATACGTAGCTGTAGGTACACGATTTGGCGTCAGTGTCTCGACGGGATAAACCCCGCACTCAGATCTAGAATTGGATGAAATTAGATACGTGTAATGGGCACTTGATGGATCCCTCCAGGATTCGCAAGTCCCTTCGCCAGCGCCAGCATCCCCGCCACCGGAGAAGGACCCACAACCTCGGAGCATTTTGGGAGTGTAGCAATTAGTCCTGTCATCTTCGCGAGAATTTGTGTATATGCCCAAAAGTAGTGCTACATGTACTTTATCAGGCAAAGATACTGGACAGGTTTGGGTGGCACTTGACTTAGCGAGTCACTGAGGTGGGGTTTAAGGTATTTCAGGATTACTGACCTTTGGTTGAGGGTTTTGTTGACTTTACTTTAGGGCTTCAGGTTTCAAGAATCGGGCCTGGGCTTTCCTATTTCTGTCCTTGAAATTTTGCTTTGAAGGCTCGACACCCAGAGTTTCACTAGCCCTCGTAAAATATGGGGGAGGGAGGGCGAGGGGGGGGCGGGTGATTGCTGACGAGCTCTACAGAGCTAGCACTGAAACCCTCAATCCCAGACCACCAAATACTCAGAAATCCTGAGACCTAAAGCAAACCTGTGTTGTCTGTACATGTGCAGGATGGAGAGAAGTTGCTGGACAAGAGTGCGGTGCCAGCACCGCAAACGGCCTTGCATGAGCAACTAAAGGCCATGCAGTGCCCAGATACAGACCTAACGGTATTGCAGCAGCAACAGCAGCTGAAGAAGATCGCCAGAGAGGAAAAGGCGGCAAAGGTGCTCGCACGTGCCGGCACCAAGTCAGCATCTATGGTAGAACTTCGTCCCATGCGTGTGTAGGTGTGATCTTCTTATAGCTGCACACACAGTCGCATTTCATCGTGTCTGAGGCAAGGGTGGAGGTCGTGGGAAGAAAAAAAACGGCACAAGCGATGCCGCAGGTGTGCCCAAAGGCCAGCAGGCAGACACTGAGCCCGGCCGAACAGAGAATCAGGAGACAGGTGTGCCAAACGAAGACCCAACCGAGGATCCCGGCCACACAGAGAATCCGCAGACAGGTGTGCCAGACGAAGACCAAACCCAGGATCCCGGCCACGCAGAGAAGCAGGAGACAGATGTGCCAGAGGAAGTCCAAACCGAGAATCCCGGCCACGCAGAGAAGCCGAAGAGCACAGGCTCAAAACGGCCCCAGGCGACTGCCGAAGAAGGCGGGGAACCCAAGAAGCAGAAGACCACGAAGGAGGCACAATTTGTAATCGACACACCAGTGCATAACACTCGCGCAGCATGCACACGTGCCACGACTGTCAACTTGTCAACTTGGCTGCAGACCCGGACCGTTGCGGATGTGCACAAAAACCTCTACAAGATGAACAACATCGGGCTGAGAATGCCCACAGCCACGGAGCTCAAGCAGAAGCAGCTGTGGCAGCACTTATTGAGACATCTAGTGCAGTATAATAAGAAGCATCAAAACCGATGACATCCTCCTACTTTGGATTTCCCGAGGTCCTATACGGTTCGTGATCCTAAGCATATGGGCAGTCCTGTGCAAGTCCTCCCCAACCACAACGGGTACTACGTGATCCACATGAGACAGCACCAATGGTTCGTGGACGTCGCAAAAGCGCACATGATCCAGGCCTCAACGTCATGGCTTCGTACTCTGGTTGCCATGTAAACATGCATGTAAATATCTGTGCATGTCTACAATTGCAATGCCGATTTAGTTGTAGCTCTGCCTAGTTGTAATCAGCATCTGAGCAGGCCAACACCAGCAAGCAAGGCTGTGCTGTCAACTGGCAGAAGCACGGGTGGGACTACGGCTGGAGATTGTCGATGGTCTTGGCGGGATGGATCGACAGGCCACAAGGGCTGGATGCCAGTGACACACAGGCTGTCCGAGAGTTTATCTCGAAGGTTGGGAACAATGTTTGAGTGTGTGGACGGTCGATGACATCCTTTCTGATGTTTATCTGGTGATTTCATTTCAATCGGGGCTCGTGCAGGCATGGCATGCAATAGACAATTGAGTCCCACCTGTAACCACTAGACACTAAACCCTAAATCCCAAACCCGAATCCTGCTATATAGCTAATCTCTTAAAATCTCTTATATACATGTGTATATGGGTCCTCAAGTCAGTCTTTACATCTTTAAACGTACACACGTCTGTACGTACGTGTGGTGTTGTATATGTGTTCACTATATTAGTTGGTATACGGGGCTAGCAGCATGCATCTCTGCACGTGGGTGGCGGAACGGAAAGACCGTTCGATGTTGCTTCGAAAATTTAAAGCTGCTGTCCGCATGACAAAATCCAGTGTTGCAACAACGCCATACAAGTCTCAGCTTAGGTTGCGATTGCCTGATTGCCCATGAAAGATCCGATAACCTGCAACCTTGCATCTTTGCTGTCTTCTGCCCAGCTTCGATCTTCAGCTAGGGCGGCGGTGCCTTGCAGATCAGGGTTGGGAGCTGCTTCGGGATGGATGCGAGTGCTTATCCGCTCTCTTTGAGTGGCTCTGCTGCCGCTATGCTGCTGGCATTGGGAGTGCCAGCGATCCTGTTACTTGACTAGTGCACTGATCCTTCCAATCGGACTTAGAGGCAAACCATGATCAAGCTGTATCCCATTGCCGGCCAATGAACCCCTTTTGTATACATTCCGGAAGCCCAGGGTAATGGTTCTTATTGGGTTCTTTGCTCGGTCTAGCTCCCCGTCTGAGGTTGCAGGCCGCCCATTATGTCGCGACAATTACGGATGAGACGCACTGGCGAGACGATGCCTCAACGGCTGTCATCAGAATGAGGTTATGTGATCGATGACATTAGAACTTTGGTCAACTTAGGATTTGATGCTCCTCGAAGCCTTCTCTGGGGTTGGCAGTGTTGCTGCTGCTTTCCACGAAAAGGGTCAGCGTGTGCAGGGTTCTTAATTGTCATGCGGTTGCATTCAAGCCCGTGTCTGCTTAGCTTGGGTGTACATGAGAGAATAGGGAACAGCTTGCGAGGTCGACCTACGACATCCAGGCCTCGCCCCTGGAAGAGAACATCCTCTCCACGACAGGGTTTTTGAATCTCTTGAAAAAAACCTTGCGAATACAGCCCGGAGGACTGCTCTGGGCGGGGCACCCGTGTTGCAATATGATATTCATGTCACAGTCAGTGCATCAACGAAGTTGCACAAGTCCTTGGGGCAACGACAAAGAGCCCAGACTCCCGACCGCAATGGTTTATAAAGCTTGAGTCCATTGACTTTATTCGTCCCCGTATCGCAAACCCAAACCCCAAAGCAGACTCTGTGTCCAAGGTGTGGTGATTGCCAACCGAATCTGCACGAGATTTTGCTTGCTCCTGTACATGGCAACAGTCCGCAGGGTTTGGTCGGCTATCGAGCAGCCGGCTTCCAGTGTCCTGAAACACATCCCGCTCTTTACATTCCTGAGGGATGTTTTGAATCGTTGTGATGCTGGTTGGGATGTTTCTTCGTTGCACCTTGGCATGATCAAACTGGTTTGATGTTTGTTGCGATCTGGTCGAATCACAGTACATTCTGTGGATCCGAGTTGGATGGGCCTCTACGGGGCCAAGAATGCGAAACCCAGCTATCTCATGGGATGTTCGTGCTAGCCTTACTAGCTCAGTGCATCCTTGCAAACATCTACAGACGTCATCTGCTTCTCACACCAGTTTCAATTGAGGAAGTGGCTGCCCGGCATCCGCAACCGAATGTCTAAAGCTAGAAAGAAGGACTTCGCCGAAGGTGCAGCAGCAGTGGTGAAGAGAGTCAAGCGCAGCCAGGGTCAGGCAGCTGTGTGCCTTGGCTGATATTCTCTTCGTGTAGTTCCGGAGCAAAATCTAGCAGAATCATAGCAGTACCAAATACACACGCATGAGGACTGGCACGAAACGACTATCTTCGACTGCGACCTATCCTCGGGCTTTCGCCCGAGCAATTGCTCATATGCATCTTGATCACAACAGGCAAGAGGCGGGCCACAGGTATAGTGCGACTATCTTGCAGTGTGGATTCGACCCCGTGCAATTCACATCGAATCGATGTTGTTCCAGGAAGCACGAGGACCCCAGCTGAACATTGATATGATCACAAATGCAGTGCAGAACCTCGCACCTTGACCTGCTACCAGTCTTGCAACACTTGTAACCCCAACCCTAAACCTTCCCGACATCCCAACCGAGGAGTTCCCATGCTGGGCCGCTGCTGGTCTTGAGGATTTGCAGTCCTTCCTGGTGACCGAAGCAATTCGGGGTCGTTGGGTGCCTTTGGGGACTATTCCTTTCTAAGGTATGGGATGCTTGTCTGATGTGCAGCTACGTTCTCTGACCTCGTCCTCACATTCAGGAATTTAGGTAGTGTATATAGAGGCCAAGCCACACCAGAGGCACCCAAAGGCACCAAGCAACCAGTGTTCGCCGAAGCCATAGAATCTCAGTTCGTGTGGTTAGGGTGACCAGAGTCTTCTAGGTTGATTCGTGCATCGGGTCATACTACTCATATAATACATTTGTCTTCGGTGGGGCTACAATATAGGTATGCACTTTGTCCGCTAGGTCTTGCGTCTAAAATAAATATGTCTACCATAGTGGGCCGGGGTTTACAGGCTGCTGCAGGGTTTGTTGGTCTTTGCTTAATATTAAGGGAAATCTTATACAAATATAAGTTACTTCAGGGCTCCAAAGTGCAAGTACGACTTACGTAATATAACGTAATATATTACACTATATTTCTGTACGTGGGGTTACAGGGCTAGCAAAGGGTCTCTCTGAAGTCATTAGGTTTTGCTTATTGGGGGGTAATCTACATATAGATTAGATTGGTATTATACATTGTGCGGGGTTACAGGGCTAGCAAAGGGTCTCTGTGAAGTCATTAGGTTTTGCTTATTGGGGGGTAATCTAGCTTTTAGATTAGACTCGGCTATATAAAGAAAAAAAAATATATATATATATATACATAGATACATAATATTAGGGCACTGTGGGTGGATAGATAGATAAACAGATACTTGCAATATATATATATATATACACATACACATGTCTTATTGGTACTAATGTTTCAAAATTATTATATACGACTATAATATGCATGTATACGGGTCTTCCGTTCAGCAGAGTTACAGGGCTAGAAATTTAAACGGTCCGTGTTGATCTGATCGGCTTTATTAACTTCAAACTTTATGCTGGGGTTTTCGGCGAAGCTTTGCGGGCACTTACATGACTTTGTTATGGGAATGGGTGATCTGCAGCTGCGATCTTCGTGTAACATCAGCAATTACACCGTGTACAACCTTGTTGCACCAGCTTCATATAGACCTAGGATTGTGACTAGGGCTTGTGCAGCACCCCAGACCCAAAGTTTCTGGTTGGCCACCAAGCGCCAGCAGCTGGCCAGACGTAGCCGGGCCAGGTGCCGCCGAAGAAGATTGAAGATCGGCAACAAGTGTAGCCTCAGATTGTGATGGGTAATCTAAACTTGCACAAACCCAATACCCCAAGACCCCGAGACCCGCCGGACCCCGAGAAAGTAGCAGCTTCATGATCGAAGTAATAGCCAGGCAGAGACTTCGGCTTTGCATTTATCACCCATGAACCACAATCCAGATCCAGAACCCCAGACCCCAAGACGCACCGGACCCCTAGATCCTAGCCCCGCTCAATCCCCTAGACCCCGACAAAAAACGCGATTACCCCTACTACCTATACCCCGAGACCCCGCTCAATACCCCTTATGACCCTCCTCGGACTGCTAGATTCCGCTCAATACCCGTTCTGTACTCCGCCGGGCCCAGACCCCAACACCACTGGGTCTTTTGAATGCTTTGGGCTTGGGGCTTGCTTTTGTGGTCAAAGGATGCTGGGCTTCTGAATCAAGACCGGGATAGGGAGATAAGCGAACCCAGGAGACATTGCTAAGTTCTAAATTCTAGCTTGGCAGACGCTTCATTAAACAACCCAAGGCAAAGGCTACGGTTTTGGATTATAGTGAGAACTAGATAGAGAAATAGGCAGAGCTTTAGAGTTGTGGGTACATGTAATGGTATTGTATGTGTATACAACAAGGGAACCGAAAGAGCCTACACCAACAAAACAGGGGGTACTGTATCTATGTGATGGTTTTATTGCAGGATATGATGAAAATTATCGCTAAACCACCCAAACCCTGGTATAATGATGCCCGAGCCAAGCGTTACAGAGCGTGAAATTGCGTTAAAAATATATCCAAAGACCATCCTCAGAAAGGCCTCGCGTTAAAAAGCGTTAAAAAGCGTTATTTCGCGTTAAACTGTGTTATACATATACAGCTAGGACCCAGCACCAAATTACTAGACTCCTTCCTTCGGAACCTAAGCTTGAACTTATCCTAGAGCCCTTGTGGAGTCGTGTAGTTCTGACAAGACCCACATCCACCGTTCCTTGGTTGCCGCATTGTTCAAAAGATTTGCTTTGAATAGCTTGTGCCGTCGTGATTTGACCACTAGCTACGATGGGAAAGCGTGGGGACACGGCAGCTGCGGCTGCACCAGTGTCTGCAAAAGTGCAGGCAATGGTCGAGAAAGCTATGCAGCAACATGGAAAGAATAAGGATAAGCCTGACGGTGGTGCCAGCAAGCCGCGCCTGTTGGCAACGCCGGCCCGCCCTCCCATCAACACCCCGATGATCGAGACCCCGCCAGCAGCCCCAGCAAAGAATGCAACACCGGGACCGAGCCCTATGTCCACCGGAAGCACCCCTCTGAAGTCCCCGGATGCCAAGCGGCATCGCAGCACGTCATCCCTGTCCTTGACTGCAACCGAAGTCCCAAGGCTTCCTAGCTTTTCAGAGGCCTCCTCCAAGCCCCGACATTCCGATTCCTCGACTACGATTAGCTTGGCTGAGTATATGGGGGAGTTGAACCTCAACAAAGGACAGATGGGAGTAAAGATATATAGTGCAGGTAGATACATAGATTACAGTCCACACACGCCGGTGGCCAGGACTATCCCAAGATCTCTCTGGCGCCGAGCCAGCCGAGGACACACAAATTTCAGCAACCTTAAAACCCGACACCCTCAACCTTAGAACTCCAGGCCCCGAATCCCCGAACCTTAAAACCCTAAGCCCTCAACCTTAAAACCCCGAGCCCTCAACCTTCCAACCCTAAGCTCCCAACCCTAAGCCCCAAACCTCCTAACCCTAAGCCCCCAACCTCGCAACCTCCCAACCCTAAGCCCCAAACCTCCCAACCCTAAGCCCCAAACCTCCCAACCCTAAGCCCCAAACCTCCCAACCCTAAGCCCCAAACCTCCCAACCTTAAGCCCCAAACCTCCCTGCCCTAAGCCCTCATCTCAAACCCTAGATTAAGCCCGAGTTACATAGGTCTGGCTTCTCGGGAATATCTCGTGGGCTAAATATCTTCACTTCTGGCAGGGTTATATAGGTCTATATACTGGGATCATGCTTTAATTATGTTGCCGTGTAGCTAGAGGAGGATCAAGAACACCGGGTCGGCGGTCTTATTACTTATTGCGGTGTTACAAAAGGAAATAAATAAATACATATTTATATATATATATATATACATATACATACTACCACTAGTCCTACACTACTACGAATACTTAATTCATGTAATAATAACACTATCAAATTATAACAGACTAGAAGCCCCCATGACTATGTATTTATTCGGCTGTGCAGGATCCACCGAAGTGCTGCATCTGCACATCCTCCTGTGCAAATACGGATGCTGCGATCAAGAAGGCCTAACGTGCTACGTAGAGTATACTATAGTATGGTTTCAGTATATTTTCAATACATATTTTTCTAGTTGAAATCGATTTGGGCAGGGGTCGCAGCACTTCTGTGGTGCTGCCTGCTTCGTGAAGTCTTTGGAGATGGCAAAGCAACCGGCTGCCGAGACGGCAGCACATTCAGAGCCAGATCCCGAGTCAGCCCCGGCAGCCAGGGCCTCCCAAGCCGAAGTGGAAACACAGTTGGACCCGATTCCTGAGCCAGCTGCTACCCCCGCAGCTTCGACGGCCAGTGCTTCGGTCGCAGCAGGATGCTGCTCTGCGAGTGCAGTGGCTTCAGGCGGAAGTTTGCATGTCGCAGCGAGCTGCCCGACCGGTTCAGCGACGGCATCGGTTGAGAGCCCATCGGCTCCTGAGAAGTCAGTTGAGGGCCAATCGGCCCCTGACGCTGAGATGTCGGTTGAGGGCCAGTCGACTAAAGTCAGGGATGACCTCGAGGTGCATCTGGAGCGACTTCTGGAGGAGCAAGATGAGGTCGAGCAAGCGCAGCATCGAGCAGGTGAGGCTGAGCAGCGAGCCAAGGCTTTGCAGTGCCTCCTGTCGGCACTTTTGCAGCAGCCGGCAGAGCTGAGTGGAGCCCGCTCGAGGTTTATCCAGGACATGCTGCGAAGGCCGGCCACTTGCGACATTGAGGACATGGCCCGGCAACTGGGTGGAGTGGAGACACAGCCAGGGTCCGACGGGACAGTTGTGCACACAGCGGATGTCAAGACGGAGTTCATGGAGCCGGCAGATCTGCCGCCGGAGACCCCAAAGGAGTCAGTGCCAGCAGGTGTGCCAGCGGAGAGCTCGAC